ATCGTCGTGTTGAGTTTTGTGAAGATATGATGGCACGCATAATTGAAAATCCAAATCTTCCATCAAACATAGTTTTCTCTGATGAAGCAACTTTTCAACTTGACGGAACATTAAATTGACATAATTGCAGGTACTGGGCTGCGGAAAATCCACACTGGATGCGAGAAGATAAATCGCAATATCCGCAGAAGTTGAATGTTTGGGCTGGAATAGTAAATAATCGAATCATAGGGCCATTCTTTATTGATGGTAACTTAAACGCTCAAAATTATGAAGAGATGCTTCGTAATCAAATAGTTCCAGCAATTAGAGAAATAGTCGGAGACAACTTCGAAAATACATGGTATCAGCAGGATGGTGCTGCAGCTCACTATGGACGAGACGTTCGAATTTACTTAGATGAGGTGTTTGATAATCGGTGGATAGGAAGGAGAGGCACAATTGAATGGCCAGCTAGGTCCCCCGATTTGACGCCTTTAGATTATTTCTATTGGGGTTATCTAAAGGATCGGGTATACAAAACTAAACCCCAAAACTTGGACGAATTACGTCAAAGGATCATAGACGAATCAGCTCTCATTCCCACTGAAATGATCCAAAATGCTATTGATGCTTTTTACCACCGATTAACTTACTGTCCAGAAGTGAACGGTGAACAATTCGAGCACTTAAAATAAGATGTGCTGATGTAAGATAAATCATACGTGAGAGGCCAGGGGAACTCAGGAAAATCAAGCACCCCGATCGTGAGAGGCGAGGGGAACTCACGAAAATCAAGCACCCCGATCGTGAGAGGCGAGGGGAACTCACGAAAATCAAGCACCCCGATCGTGAGAGGCGAGGGGAACTCACGAAAATAAAGCACCCCAAGGGGACAGATTTTACTACGTCCACGTCGTTGTTCCTGGGTAACGCTAAAAGTAAAAAAAATTGATCTTGAAAAAACCTTGATAATGAGGTTGAAGGTTAAATTCAAGGTCACGGATCTCCGATGGGCAATTACTAAATAAATACCTTTCTCCATTATGAAAAAAACTTTAAAAAATTTTAGGGCATCTTTAAGTTTAGATGACCTTCGACTGACCTTAAACTTTAAGTTCGCCCTTGACTTATGATCTAAGTAGATATTTGGATGTGAAATTTTCCGCTCTTTCGATTGCCGCTGTCGAAAATGGGGGTTTCCATGACCTTTATTTGCTTCCTTGTACCACTAAAATCCCGGTACTATTACAAAGCCACAGTTTGACCTTCATCTGACCCCTAGAGGTCACATTAACCTCAGACCTCAACTCATCCATACGTGAGAGTCTTCACTTTTTTCGATTCCGCCATAAAAAATAGGGGTATCCATTAAAAAAAATGAGGTTGACCTCAAAATAACCTTGAAAATGAGGTTCAAGGACAAATTAAAGAGCACCGTTGAAAGTTACCTGGGGTTATCCTTTTGTTTGTTTTGTTTAACCACTGAATTCGCGAGATTTTTAAGAATTCATATTTTGACCTCCAGTTGACCTCTAGGGGTTACCTCAACCTCATACCTCAATACATATCTGGACGTAAAATTTTCCGCTCTTTCCGATTCCGCCATAAAAAATAGGGGTTTCCATTTGAAAAAATGAGGTTGACCTCAAAATAACCTTGAAAATGAGGTTCAAGGTCAAATCCAAGGTTACCATCAGATTCCTCGTAAAAAGTTACTTCAAGAATAACCTTCACCCGGTTATAAAAATAACCGGCTTAGAAAATTTCTCAGGTGTATCGTTACTTTTTGGACACCCTGTATTGGCCCCTTTGTTTTAGCTGCTGACGATTGCCGATAGGCAACCGAGTAGGCTTGAAGATGCCAGGCAGCGAAGAAAAAAAGGAAAAAAGAGAAATCGTAACGCAGGTTTAGGTTGAGAGCAAGAATGTCTCTCTTATCCTCTCTTTTTTTAAAATATTAAGCAACAAAGTTGTGCCTTTTTCACAAACTCGAAACTGCCTGACTGCCGATTCTTCCTCCCACTCTCCTTCTTTCTTATGTACAAGTCTATACCGTCTCGATAAATATATAATCCGAAAATTTTTTTTTCTGTTTCCAAAAGTAATAATTGTATCATACTCAACGTTATATTAAATTAATTAAATTTTCGTATTATATTTCCGTAGTATATTTTTCTTTGTTTATACTTCAATAAATTATGGATTACTTAAATCAACAAAATGTAACTAATTTTTAGTAACAAAAATTCAAGTATACTTTTTCGAAGGATTTTGGTACATCGAATCCAAATCTGGCTACGAAATTGCTCTATCACGTCAGGTTTCTGAAATGTTCTAACTTAAAAGTGTGAAAAATGCTGTTTTTCACCATATTTAAGGTTATTTAAAGTCATAATGTTTTTATTTCCCAAACTTCTTAGGTGCACCTAAACGTATACATCTTCCTCTTTTAAATACCCGTTGAGTTTGCTCAAGTACGTTGTTTTTTAATTGAGATACGATAATTCGAGAAATTTTCTTACTCACCGATTTACTCAAATGCAAGCGAAAAATGCATATTGCAACCGATTTTTTAAAGCTTTTTTCTATAACTAATTTATTTAAAAGAAAATTATATAAATTATGATAACAGTTAATCCCAAACTTACAAAATCTAATCCTTCAAATGTCATAGTCAAAAATCTAAGTTCACTTTCCTCAAACCCACATTCCCAGGCCCGCAAATCCTAAACCCGTATTCCTAAGTCCACATACCCCAAGCTTAAAAACTTTAACCTTAGTTTTTCTTTAAAGAATTTAATTTCCAAGTTTTTCAGTTTCATAAATGTTCTACCTTAACCCTACCAATCCACAAGAAAGCTAGCAACTTATCCCTGGGAACTTGCTATTTCCAGGGTCAGGGGATTACTCTGCTTGTGGTTTAGAATTTACTTATTGAAAAAAATGAGCGATTAAACTCGCTGCTCCAAGAGTAAGGTAGGTTAGTCTGCTTGAGGTTTGATAGGGGTGATTGGATGAGGGTGGTTTCTAGGTTTTTGGGTGGGTTCAAGGTCAGAAGATTAGGTTGGTCGACCTGCTTACGGTGCGGGATTTACTTATTTGAAAAAATTAACCATTAATCTCTCTGCCCCAGGGTTAGGTAGGTTATCCTACCTATGGATTGGTAGGGGTGAGGTACAAAATTAATGAGATCGTAAAACTTTAAAATTAAATATCTTCAAGAAAAAATAACGGCATTTAAAATAATGAGATCTCTATTTTAATATGCCGTCTACAGTTTTTTGTCAATATAGAATGTCATGATGCTACATAACCTCAAATACAGTCAAAAATGGCGTTTTCTGCACTTTTAGATTAGGAATTCTTAAAACCGTGACGTGATAAAACAATCCTGTAGTCAGATTCGGGTTCAGCATACCAAAATCCTTCGTAAAAGTCTACTTGCTGTTATTTTACCTTTGTTGGTCTGTATTATCTTAAATAACATTAAATCTATACGATATAAAGACACAAAAATAGTGCATTTACGAGGGAGCTACTCCAACCCAACCCCACCGATTTTAATGATCTATGAATATGTTGGAATACTCGAAAAAATATTAGACCCGTATTTTTTTATCGGCTGATATAAACATTTAAGGACTAAAATCCACCCCTGAAAACCATCCTGAAAAAATTCTTAATATATCCCTCTATCTAATGACTAAATAAAATTAACGCCAAATTATTTCTTATAAGTAGGTGCTTTTACTGGTATAACTTTAGCACCAAGAGGTTGTAACCCCTTTTTTTATAGGGTTCAAAGTTCTATTTTTGTTGTTGCTATTTTAAGATTCAAAATCTGTTCAATAAGACCGAGTGGGTAAAAAACTCCATTTATAATGAGAAAATAAGAAATTAAAATTGACGTATTTTGGAATTTTTTAAGAAAAAATTTTTTGAGGGTGTGTTATCCCTAATAACTACCTTTACCGAATCAGAAACAAGCTAACCCACCTAATTCTAGTCACAGTGTGAATATTAATTAAACAGGTATACAAAATTTCGTATCACAAGCGAGCTATAGTATTCCTGAAGGGTTTTGATGCGCTCAATCCAAATCTGGCCTCAGAATTGTTCTATTACGTCAGATTTCTAAGATATCCTAACTTAAAAGTACAGAAAGCACTGTTTTTATATATTTTAGGTTATGTAGCATCATAATAAATTTTTTTTTGTGAAAAAATCTTAAAGTACAAATATTCCCCTTTCAAATGCCGTTGAGTTTACCCAAATATTTTTTTTTTCACTAAGATATCGCATTTTGAAATATTTATATTTATGAATTTCTTAAAATTCGAAAATCCATTAATTTTTAAAGCATATATTTTTCCATTAAATTTTTTGCATGAAGAATTTCACTCGAGGATTTTTGAGATCGCTAAAAATGCGAATCTCCAATAAAATTTCGTTTTTTCAAAATCCAAAATGGCGAATTTAAAATAACCGAATGAAAAATTTTTCAAATTTTTAAATTACGTTCTAGTAATATGGATTTTGAAAAAACGTAATTCTGGTTGCAGATTCACATTTAGCGATCCCAAAAATTCTCGAGTAAAATTCTTCATGTAAACAAAGCTAATAGAAAAATGTATGCTTCTAAGGGTTAATATATTTTCGAATTTTGAGAAATTCATAAATATAAATATTTCAAAATGCGATATCTTGGCGAAGAAAAAAAGATATTTGGACAAATTCAACGGTATTTGAAAGGAAAAGATTTGTACTTTAAGATGGTTTGAATAGTTTTCTGTGAAAAAAATTAGTTACGATGCTACATAACCTCAAATATGTCAAAAAATAGTGTTTTTTGCTCTTATAGGTTAGAATATCTCAAAAATCTGATGTGATGGAGCAATTATGAGGCCAGATTTGGATTCAGTGCACCAAAATCCTTCGGAAATGCTATAGCTTGCTTGTAATACAAAATTTTGTATACCTGTGATATCAAAATTAATAAAATGTTAATATATATTTACTTGGCAGTATCCTACGGAGATGCCATTGCGAACTTCAACATTAAGAATATAGCGATCACGTGTTTCCCGGTCCAACGGCAGTTTTGTGCGTATTGCTCCAGTGCTTACTTCCAAAGAGAGTTCCGGTTGATCTGTCACCCAATAAAATGTGTTTGTTAGATTGCCTGAAAATAAATAAGTATATAAATTTCTCTAAGAAATTACAGCATCTAAAAAATATCTAGCTATATATTGCACACCGTTATTTTACAATAAGCATAGTATGAAAAGAATATCAAGAAATAGACCCTTCTTTTATTTATTTAAGCAAATAAAACCTTTTATCGGATTATTTTGCTAATGCATTAGGACAAACGTGAAACATAAAATAATAGATCAGTATTAGTGGTAACGAAAAAGTTCAAATATGAAGATATAATTTATATAAAGGTGTATGACAATAGATAAAGCCTAAAAGATTGTGGAATTTAATAGTTAGTAATAAAATTACACTATTTATATAAAATATTTTAATACATTTTAATAGGTTTTTATTTAAATTTTATTTTTTTCTATAGTAATGACAAATAAAAGAATAACAAATTCATTATAATTTACACCAATTTTGAATTTACTATTATTTTAATATGTATATATTATTAATATGTACACACACATACACACAGGTTAGGGCGATATACACATTGATAGGCTTGACAATCTTATGGTACCCGAGTCCAAGAAGTATAAACCTCGTTAAAAAAAATCAAGGTTCATCTAGCCCGGATGTTAGGATCTGATTAGATGTTAAAGGACTCCTTCCTAGGATGCAGAGTAGGAGAAGGAAACCCCGAATAAATCAACTATGGATAAATGACTATGTGTGATAATAACATAGGATAACTCCGGGCAGGTACCGGCAATGTTAGGAATTCCGTCAGTGATTCTGATCTGCGGAAAGCCCAGGTGATCGCCACTGGCTTCTCACAGAGATGAGAGATCATCAACAGAATGATGCGGATTACATCCTGTTTATGTGCCCCGCCCATAAACCCGACAGAAGAAAAGTCGCAGCAGCTACGGGGCTGTATCGGTTATCAAAAGACAACCTCATAAGAACCATGCTTACGACATAGGAAAACTGGGATTTAATAGCTAGCTTTATTTGCAAGGTAATGAAGACCAAAGAAGAAAAGGTAAGAGAAACAAAAAGAAAAGATTGAAGAAATTAGAAGAGTGATAGGCTAAGGAATCCAGCATCTGAAGAGGGATTCTTAGGAATCAGGACAGGCTCTACTGAAGTAATACTGTAAAAGAGTTCTGGTGGAGCTAGACATTTTCAGGACCCATTATACTTTTACACACGTAGAGCTGTAACAGGAAAGGGCTTCTAGTCTGTATACTATACTGGAGAATCGGACACACAGCGAGAATTGAGGGCACGATCATCTCGATGGACTTAAATAATACAGATACACATATATTTATTTATTTATTTATTGTACCGTCTTAAAAGTCTACAAAAGTTCAGGTTTTTGATTAATTTGAGCTCTTGTATACGCTGGAATTTTCTAATTGTTATCCGATTAAAAATTATACGAATAAATTAAGTAATTACACAGGGCAACCACCAAAAAGACCTAGAACCGTGACTAGGTACTCCCGAAGGTTTTTGAGTCACTGAATCTAAATCCAAATCCCCAAATCCGGCGGCAGATTTTGTTCATCACGTCAAGTTCCCGAGATATCCTAATCTCAAAGTGCAAAAAACACTGTTTTTGGCTAATTTTGAGGTTATGTCAGATCTCTACGAAAGTTTTTTTTTACAGCTGACGGCATCTCAAAGAAGAACTCTAACCCTTCAAAACCTTTCTTCCAAATTAAAAATTTTTTTTTTTTTTCGTTGAGATATCGATGTTTAAAGTTTTGTATTTTGACGATATTTGAGAAAATAAAGTTAACCTTCAGATAACCTTGAAAATCACATTGAAAGTCAAGTTTGATGTCCTCATCAGATGACACCCTCTGAACCATACAACTTTTACCTGAAACATTTTTCGTACATTTGGCAATGTTTTTAGTTATCTTAGCCAAGTATATGAAAAATTTTTCAGGTAAAAGTTGTGTATATATTGTAACGAGCAGGCTCGTTAAGAGGTGGATGAGCGAGATTTGAAACAGCGCGCCATGCGCAAAAGACCCGCGCAGCGAGAAAGAGAGAGAGAGATAGCTACGACACGCGGGCTCGAGAGTACACGTGAGATCGGCAAGCGGGCAAGGCACGCTCGAAGTCCTTTTTTTGCTTTGGCAGTGTGTGGAGAGAAAACCAGATACGGGAGAATCGGTTCTGTGTGGTGAGCAACGGAAACGGTGCGAAACAAATATTAAGTGTGCACGGAGAGATCAGCTACGAGTGAGGATCAACGGGAGCCGATTCCAGATCACCGTATGACTCGAGGGCCTCGATACGTCGCCCACCACCCATAAGGACAGGCCGACAGAGCACTCACCCTCAGCGACTCTGGGCGACGTCGATCGAGTATTTAGGTTTAAAGTAGAAGGCGAAGCTGTCTGCAGCAGCATTCGTCCGCGTAAGTCTTTTCTTTTGTTTTCGGGATTGCGAGCGAGAACGCCGGGGAGTGAGCGCATGTAAACAGAACCGGCTGCGTTTGATTAAGTATGTGTTTTCTGTCTCTCTCTCACGCGTACGTATGATTAGGTTGTGCGCTACGAATCTCTCGGTCAATGTGGAATGTGCGCTAACGTGTAAATAAGTAACGAATAAAATCTGCTGTGAATATACTGAGCAAATCGGCAGATTCATTCGATAGCACCGAATTCTCTCTACGTTCCCTTCTCCCCCGCAACGTTTTCTAAGAACCTACAACCACCGCTCTTTCGTATTATTCCGTGCTTTCGCGCTCGTTTTCAGGCTGCGCGTCCAGCACAGAGCTAGCCAAAAGAGGAAACGGCGGTGTCATAGATATTTTGTTAACGGACGGCGATTTACTTCCGAAGAAATCAACAACCGTTACAATATATATATGTATATATATACATATATACAGTTGACATGGACCAAATTGCAGTCTTTCAACCTGGAAATGTCTTGTGAAGAGAATCCTGCCGTTTCTGCCTACTAGCGAAATCGTCGAAATATGAAACTTCAAACATCGATATCTCAACGAAAAAAAAAAAAATTTTTTTAATTTGGAAGAAAGGTTTTGAAGGGTAAGAGTTCTTCTTTGAGATGCCGTCGGCTGTAAAAAAAACTTTCGTAGAGATCTGACATAACCTCAAAATTAGCCAAAAACAGTGTTTTATACACTTTTAGATTAGGATATCTCGGAAACCTGAAGTGATGGACAAAACCTACCGCCGGATTTGGATTCAGCTATTCAAAAACCTTCGGTAGTACTTAGTCACAGTTCTAGGTCAGTTCACTTTTCAAATTTGTTACCCTGTGTTATTCTACATCGCGATTCCGGTGGAAATTTATATTTTCCAAGGAAATCAATATCGTGCCTGAATTTTGAATAAACATTAGATATACCACCCTTAGCCTTCAATCTCTATAATATATCAAATGTACTATAGAATGTACCGTTAGAATAATAGCATAATCAAATAAGCCATTTTTGGTACAAAATTAACAGCAAATTTAATTAATTTAATTTTAATAGCAAACTGATAGCGCAATAATTTTTGTTAGTATTAATAAACTAATACTTATGTTTCTAACTTCTAATTGTTGGTAATTTATTTTTTATAAGACGTACAAAAATTTGCAAAATTATTCTAATGGAAAAAATGGTAAGTAATTGAATTATGTTTAAAATCAGAGGTCGATTATGTGAATTGAATTATATTGAGTCGAGAAAAAACTGAAAAACTAAATAATAGTCGAAAACAAGATATTTTAAAAAAATCCATTGTACGGTATGTTTTGATAGTGAAGGACTGGTCATAATATATCTATCTCATATTATTTCCAGGCTACATGGGCTTTCTTAGATTATAAGTTTCTAAGATACGATTTTAATAAAATAATGTTTTTCAAGTAATTTTGTAAATTTTGCTCTTACTCAACCGATCAACTTATTTAAAATTTTAAAAAGATTTAAAACGTGTATTTCAAGCACTACAAATTTTCCAGTTATAATATCTCTGCTCTATATTGTGTTTGAATAGGTGGAAATTGAAATCTAAGGTTCAGCGAAATCCATTTGCATCCAAAACTAATAGGATATTAAGAACTCGGAAACAAAAAGGTAAATGATATATTATAGTAATAAAAAATGCAGCGCGATCGGTATTAATTTTTTAAATTGGCCGTGGTCGCAACTGTTGATGTTATTTTAATAAATTTTGTATTGTTTTCGGGATACTTTGATATTGAATACCATAATTAGTGCATTTATTAAATATAATCTAAGAAACATTATTACACGTCTTAGGCTTTAGCGGTCAGTCGAGAATTGAGTAGATAATGGTGTTCCGCTACACTTATTTTTAATGATGATTAATAGTAGGCGTCAGCCCTTTGGCACGTGTGATTTCTACATTTATGACCCTTCCACTTAGAAATCACATATTTATAAAGTCGACTAGGTGTTGCAAAAATCCAAAATTGTATTTTAACAATCCTTTTGTCACAATATCTGTCTGCTACTTCTTAGAGAGCAGATATTGAATCGTGTAAATTTTATCATTATATCTTTTACGAACATAATTATATTTTATACCGATGTTTCATTATATAATAAAATTGCGGATTCTTAATTTTCTTTGATTATCAATGTACAATATTGGCATATCAAGCTTACAATCGATAATTTTGCAAATCTATCCATACTAACTATTGTATAATATCGCAGACCGCGATGAATTCGGATTCTGTTGTTGATAACGCAACTGATTTTTGTCTTTTTGACCTCCATGAAATTAAGTCATCGCCTGATTATATTATAAATCCTGACGTTGATCTATGCGTTTCGGGATCATCAGCGAAATCTGCGTCGCTATATGCAACACATTTTACATTTTTAAGCAAATTATGGTTACCGTATATTCTACGATGCTCTAACGTACCTTTAATATATCGTATTAAACGTTTTATAGCATTCCAAAGACGTTTAGTGGATTTATCAGCGTATCTGCTCAAAACTCACACTGAATATCCTAT